GTATTTCAACAAGTTTCCGTTTCTTTCTTCTTGGTCGGTCCTGGCGATAAATATTGAGTGATAGCCGCTTAGATGTTAGCAGTTCAGTAAATGAACATCTGAATAATGTACATTCTTTTCGCTGTATATTGCCAGCAACCCCATTGTCTCTTATTGAGTTTTTTGTAACTTTGACAACGAAAGGTTGTACACTTTTCAGAAACGCAGCAGAATAGGTTATGTGGTTAATAAACATAATGATATATTAAAACAAACAAAAATAGATAACTTGTTGAAATATCTAGATGGCCGGAACAGGTAGCCCAAAAGCTCAAGCAGGCCGCCCTATCAATATTTCTCTCATCCTATGTTATCTACATTTGTTGGGATTATTGGTCTCACAATTTCAATTGACCTATGAACCTATTCGCTTTAATATTACGTGTCAATCATTTCAACATTGAAAATATTCAGTTCGAGATCTAGAAACTAAAAATTCTGTTATTTCCATCACATTCTATATTGACATAAAATAGTAATGTACTCATTAGTGACTGGCTTCAAGCTGAAATTCCTTGAATCCTACAATGTAGCTACAACCAGTGGAGCTCAACTATGTCGAGTATGAGATAGTTATCCACTGAAGCCAATCAATGAGGGTTGTACGATTCTATGAATTGATTGAAGCTATACAATAACACGATTGGATGCCATCTCAGTGATCTAGATGTTAAATGTTGGTGTAAGATGTGAGATGATGGATTGGATTCTATGTAGTAGGATTATTTCTGAATAGTGATACTGAGTTTCATACCTTTACGAATTTGGTTATTCAATGCTTCCTGGTTTTGAGTGGTAGTCTAAATAAAATAATTTCGAAATCTAGAAATAATGCTATATTCTTACGCTGTAATTTTCAAGAGATATTTTCGCCTTTACCGTGGTCATTAATTATCATTTTAAACCTAGTGAAAATTTCTAAGTAACAGCATTCTATTCTCTAATATCTATTTTGTAGAGAATTCTGATTGGAAAAATTGTATACTGATTACTGGTGTGCTGGATATTTTTAAAACTTCTTTTACTGTAGTGACTTAGTGAGATTTTTGGATCGAAAATTTGATTTGTAAAACAAAATATTTCAACGGCAGATTTTTTATTGTTTTGGGTTTCATTTTTAAAAATAGATTTTATATGCAGTATTTGCGTTTTAATGAAGTGATGTCATTTCCGACATCGCAGTTCATGTACATATGAATATTTAACATTTACCTAGTTAATGTATGTCTGTCCACTTGTCATATGTTCAAACACTTTTAATAATAATAATAATTTTCCTTTCATCCTTGTTCGTCTGCCTGTAGCTCTTCTAGGGTCACCACCGCTTCCAAGCCAGGGTGAAGAAGCAGGGTTGGGTATGGGATCAGCAACTACATTCTTTAGAGAATAATCTTTCTAAAAAAACACCAACCAGAACAACGAAATTAAACCACAAACTCTACCCTGGGAGTTGAAGGAAATATTATAACGCATCATGATGAAAGCCGATATTCTTCGGAAGTCATGAAGCCGATGACAACTGGATGGACAAAGTACAAAGGTTCAATACAACCTTCCTATGAGATACTAACAAACTCAACGAATTCAAGATAACTCAACAACAGGTTCCAAGCCTTACTGGACCTACTGAAAGAAGAAGAAACTACTATCGAGGACAACTGGAAAAGGATCGAGGAAGCACTAACTTCAACGTGTCAGGAAGTACTAGGCCTCAACAAGGATCATCATAAGGAATGGATTTCTAACGAAACCCTGGACAAGATTCAAGGAAGGAAGAACAAGGAGACAACAATTAACAGTGGCCGAACAAGAACAGAGAAAGTCTAGGCAAAAGCTAAATACACAGAAGCAAACAAGCAGGTGAAGAGGAGCATTAGAGTTGGGAAGCAGAAATACGTGGAAGATCTAGCAACGACAGCTGGAAAAGCTGCAAGAGAAAGAAGTATTAAACGACTATACGGCGTAACGAAGAAATTGACGGGGAAATATAGTAAACCAGATAGACTGGTCAGGGACAAACAAGGTAGGCCAAACACCGAGGTTCAAGAACAGAGGGGCAGATGGGTAGAACACTTTGAGGAACTCTTGAATAGACCAGCCGTACTGAACACACCGGATATCGACGCAGAATATACAGACTTTCCCATACATGTCACATCACCAAGGACGAAAGAAATTAGGATGACCATCAGATAAATCAAGAGCGGGAAAGCAGCACGACCCGATAATATACCGGCTGAAGCGCTGAAGTCAGACATAGAAGTAACTGCAAACATAATCCACGTTCTATTCAGGAAGATTTGGACTTCGCAGATAACCTAGCCATTCTATCCCATACACACAAACAAATGCAGATGAAGACAACTAGTGTATCAGCGGCCTCCGCATCAGTAGGCCTCAACATACACAAAAGAAAAGTCAAGATCCTCAACTACAACATAGAGGACATGAATCCAATCACAAATGATGGAGAAGCTGGACCAGGTAGAAGCTTCCACGCATCTGAACAGCATCATCGATGAACAAGGAGGATCGGATGCAGACGTAAAGGTGAGGATTGACAAAGCAAGGGCTGCATATCTACAACTGAAGAACATATGGAACTCAAAACAACTGTCAATCAATATCAAAGTCAGAATCCTCAATACGAACGTCAAGACAGTCCTACGGTACGGAGCTGAAACCTGGAAAACTACTACAACCATCGTCATTCTGGAAATTATCAAACTGCATCACGAGGCAAGCCTTAACTTGGAATCCTGGAGGGAAACGGAGAAGAGGAAGACCAAGGAACACATTGCGTTGGAGATTGGAAGCAGACACAAAAAGAACGAATAACAGCTGGAAGGGGTTGTTTAGGACGGTGTTGGATGGAGAATGCTGGTGAGCGGCCTATGCTCTTCCTTGAGGGGTAACAGGCCTAAGTAAGTTAGTTCCATCCTTGTGTTGCTTATTTATATCAATACAATTTTTCATGTGTTCATCTTCGATTTAAATCTGACAGAGGCTAAATCAACAGTGGCGGAGTTATTTAATAATTCTAAGGACTCGTTTGAAGTAATCTTATGTGCCATATAAAACCACTCACTAACATACTTAATAGTTACTTTATATATTAAGTTAACTATTAAAGTTGATAGTGGACAGGTAACTGTTTACTTAGGATTATATTAGATCGATTTATTTGCATTTTAACAGTTGACGGAACAATCACTCATCAGTCGTATGAACAAATATTTCCGAATCAACAGAAATAAATGGTTTACTCACCATGCTATAGTGTGACCTTGAGTGCAGTACACTAATTTCTTTTGCACTATACCATATATTTCAACTACAATACATTTAACTCTTTCAGTAGTAATAACCTTTTAAGATACATGGTTGTTTGTATGTTTCATAATCTCTTGCTCTCTTTTCACGATCAAGTTGACAGTGTATAGTGTGTAATACAACTGATGAGTGCTTTCATTGATCTCCTTATCCATAACCACCTGACAATAGGATCATTGGATTTAATAACATACACCAATACATTCAGATTGATATTATGAGCATGATAATCTTGTAACTTTTTTATATCAGTCTAACTTATTTGGTAGATTTTAGTATAGTTTTTAGAACTTGAGGATAATACTCGAAAACTAGCTGCTTAATTAGTTTAAATGACCCGGACAGAAAATACTCAATAGTGACTAGCTATTGATTAAAAACTATATTTAAAAGAAGATATATGTAAATTTTGTTTGTACCTCTTTTCACGATTTCCTCTTATTTCTTAATTATATGGTAGGACTATAATGAATGAACTAATCAGATATAATATAGCGGCTGTTGAATTTTGTCGCGAAGTTCTTTTACTTATATGGCTTAACAGAGTTTCGACATTATAGATCATGTTAGTCCTTGATAATAGCTCTTACCCTAACTCCTAACTTTTATCTGATCTTAATACTTCAAACTGATCCATGACCCTGCTTTTACTCTGGTGATTGAAGTTTTTCAAGGCCACTTAGGTATTGCTCACTTATTATATTACTTACAAATATTCAGTAACTAGTGAATTATTCAATCATTTCAAGGTATAGGTTGTCGTGTGGTGATTCGAATTATTTTTTATATCCGAAGTAAATTAAATAAATGGCAACTTCCAGGGATGATTTATGGATTATTTTTATATGTGTGTATTCCTACTGTATGGTTATTAATTGACCATATCATATATATTCATCTTCCTTTTATCATAAGCTTTCATTTAGCCTATTGGCTACCATTATACGACTTAACATTCTTAACTTATTGCCAATCTGCTATTCAGTTTCCCCTAATCACAGCCACTTTTGGTCTGATATTGTATAATTTATTGTTTTTCGTTTAATAATGTGATGTGGTCTGCTTGTGTATAAACTACATGTCTGTAGTGTATTATTCCTATAGTGGATGCAGATTATTGGTCTGGACTCAACAGGTGAGGCAAGGAGAGACAATACTGCATAGAAGAACACTAAGGATTCGAGTTGAACCAAGGTTGTCAGTGCTGGTTGGCCGGTCAGTGTTCATCTCAGGGAAAAAAGCCACATAAATAGATATTCTGATTGGGTGTTTTATCACATGATATTTGACAGGGTTATAAGTCATAACAGTGTTTAAACTTAATCCGTTTATTATTGTAACTGTATTCCCTTGAAATTTCTAGCATTTATCTTCGTTTCTTATGTTTTCATTAGGAATTCCGTTGTTTGTAACAGTTCCCACAATTTCTGTGTATAGTTCTCGTTCCTATTTGTTCGTTGCCATTATTGAATAGTACAGCTACTAGCTTTTACTTAACCTATCGTATGTTTTTTTTTGTAAATTATTCTTGTACAACCACTACGGGGAACACTTCTTGGATCATACTTTTAATGTGCGTAAACGCTTCCAATACCTTACAAGTTAAAGTTTGTAAGATCCATTACTTATATTGTCATTAATAATCATATCGTATTTTGTAGACATATCTCATGGTTTGATTTCAGGATTTTACACGTTACTTATCGTTTGGTCTAAATCCCTAAGCCGTTTTATTAGCACCATATAGGCTAACTGAGGACATATAGTAATATTAATGTTTTGCTTAAGATTCTATCTTACAAGTTAATAGAACAAGAAAGTCTTATATCGATTGAAGTCCGAGTTCAAAATATACTTCAAAGATCATATCTTCATCATTCAATGAATTAAGATTAAAACTTGAAGTTAAATTAACATTCTATTTTAAAAATGTTTTTTACTGTAATTTACTTTAATCTTTTTTTCTTTTCATTGATTTTGTCTTGCCAATACAATAAAAATAAACAAGACAACATTTATCTACCAGTTTGTTGAATGTCTACGTGTTGGATTAGTACATCTACCTTTAAATGGTTTAAATAATTTACAAACTAATTCACCACAACAACGAGTTCCCAATGTTTTACTACATGCTTCACCTTCTTCATTACATTTACCTATACAAAATATATAAAAGAATATAAATGATTCAAAGTTATAAAACAATAAATGATATTTGTTCTTTGAAGATAGAAGATCAATGGGTTATATTGATCTACTTCTTTTTTTTTTAGTAATCGTTTTTGCTTGTCTTATCTTTTGAATATAGTCAATTGAAGGTTCAGGCACCATTTTCGTATGTAGTAGGTTCTAACAGTTTATCATACAATAGGAAAACTCCTATACAACGAGAATTCTATACATTATTGGCTTAAAAACACCCTTGAGTTGTTATGACTTAATTAGTGGATTGGAAACAATCAGTAGATAATATCGTATTCATTATTCGTATAAGTTTTTCTTCTAAATGGTTGGTTTAAACTGCTAGAGATTTGTTAGTTTATCTAATAATAAGATAAAAACTCAATCAACATTATTTCAGTACCGCAATCATTGAAACTACCATTAATATGTTGTGATTAAAAAGAGTTCTATCCACTGGAGTAGAGGTACTTAGAATTGATATGACTCCATCTTATTTATTTCAAATCTAAGTAAAAGTTCTTACTTCTTACAATGTCAGTATCTGATTGTTTAGGAATTGAATCCGAGTTTTTGTTGAAAAACAAAATTGACATAACTGTTTAATATTTGCCATTCAAAACTTATTGGAACTAATCCATGTCACTTTCATATGGAAACGTTCACACTTATCATGAGTTAGTCAAACCCCGATAGTAATTCACAGAAATAGATAATATATAATCTTTCATCTCCTTTTTCAGATTAATAACGAGTCTTAAGTAAATAAATAAATAGAACTGGTGAGGTTAATTATTCTCTTCTTTACACGACGACCACATGAGCAGACTTTCAAGAATTCATAAATTCATTCACAAAATAAGTCAGTTAAGTAATCATTTATTACGAATTCATTTTTGTATTGGTTGTTTGAATCTTCTCATTTATGTTTAGGACTGCAGCTGTTTAGTCTTTTATTGGTATATGTGAATCCGGCGAGGATTGCCTTGATATTGACTTAAGTCACAAGCATTATAAACGAAGATGGAGAGTGGCTAACTAAGTGGATAACGTGATGGCGTTTGAAACGGTTGGTACTGGGTTCGAGTCCCGGGATGAACAGTAACTTGGATGTAGATACATTCAGCTGACGGGTCCTGAGGAGACGAAACGCCCGTTCTGGATTCTATTGTTAGCCATCAGTCACCTCTGCTTATTTAGTACTAAGATGAGTGAAAATAGTGAGAATCAGTACAGATGAGGCACACAGTTCTTGACTCTAGCACTAAACAAAATGAGTTAAATCTAAATATATCGCCCTGTTGAAAAATGACCCAAAATAATTATTGATATAACCTGGGTACCACTGAATACAATATTATTTTTTACCCGGTTTTCATTGTAAGCACTTATTTAATCTATTTAAGAGAATAATTGTAAAATGTGCAGCCTAAAGTTGATGTTCATAAATCAGGTTTTATGTGAAAATTTCAGATATTTCAAGTGTTAGACTTTTAAATAGAGGAGTAAATTTCAGAGTCGATAAGTGGTGTTGGGATGGTTCCCAGAAGGCTAAACGAAGCCTTCTAAGGGGGTTGAAGTGATTCTATCCAATCACAGCCCGATATTCTCTAGAATGCCGGTGTGATATGCTGTGATAGGACAGTTGTATAAATTTACTACTTGCAGACTGGCTGGATTAGAATGATGTTACAGTCTATACCGAAAACTATAAATATACATGTTTTCCTGTACATTTTAACACTTAAGTGCACGCTTCTCCTGTTTTCTGTCTTTGATTAGTGGCTTGAGGGTTTTTGGACGTCGAAGTGTCGAAATCGTTTGCCATTTTAGCCATAACCACGTGGTAGACTTAAAAAATGTTAATAACATAGTTTTATCTACACTATGTTGACATTCATTTTTCCGCAGTTTTCCCTTTTGTTTTCCAAATTTAACTCGGAACAAACTTCTTACTCAACATTAGCTAGCTTTTATATTTATGCAAAATATTACGTGCATTGTACCCAGTCGATGACTTTATTCCAACTACAATACATTAACGTTACATGTGTGGGACGCGCTTTCAGCTATCTTCATGTACTGATCCATTTCTATCTAATTGAGTACGTTTTGGATAGATCCAGGAACTTTTATTGTACAAAACTTTACTCAATATCTCTTACTTATCTTACTAACATGAGAAGATTGAACACGTTTGTGTGACCAGATTGATATAAAAACCTGAGTTGATATTGTATCAGTTCAATGATATATTTGAAAAATCTGAGATAAATTATAAACATAACTAAAGAATAAAGAAACAGAAGTGAATGTATTTCTTCTCCATAAAAATCACAAAATCACCCTTTCATAAAGTATTATTAAGTCAATTATGTATTTTGAATAGAGAAAAAATAAAGATTTAAGTGGAATATTATGATCTAAAGGCGGACCGACATATCCTTGGTTCGAATCCTGCGAGGCGGGATCGTGGATACGCACTGCTTAGGAGTCCCGTAATAGGATGAAACAGTCGTCCAGTGCTTTCAGGTTTTCAATGGTGGTCTAACTTCAACTGAATAAAGAATTCAATTATTAAATTGATATAAATACATTAAACTATTTACTAATGATCTAAATATACTAAAAAGACTAAATTGTATAAGGAAGAACTTCCTATAATGCTGACAGTAACAAAAAAGAGCCAGAAGGCTTGAAATAAGCGGTCACCTAATTTCAATGGTTAAGATCATGAGTCAGTTGAAGCTAGACCACCATGGAAAACCTGAAAGCACTGGACGGCCGTTTCGTCCTATTATGGGACTCCTCAGCAGTGCGCATCCACGTAATCAACAGATGTTAATGTTAAATAAAAGTAAACTGAATAAAGTTTAGTTAGTTAAAAATGAATGAACTAGAAAAGAGTGAGAAAATAGTAGTGAGGACTTAACGAAATAAGATGAATTCATGTTAGTTTGCCCATTTCCTTATTTATGGCGAGACAATAATTTATGGACAAACCAATCAGATTTAGGATATGAAGTCTGGATTTTGGCTCGAAATTCATCTACCTATTTGGCTAAATACTGATTTAGCATTTTAGCTGATGTCAGTTCATGATGAAAACCGTAATTCTAATTCCTAACCCTAACCATTAACTATAGATCACAATCTTAATTCCTCACATTGATTTGTAACCCTGATTTAGCCTTAGTAAGTAGGTGGGCATTCTCAAAGTCACTTTGGCGTCGCTCAAAGGTCGTCCATACATTGTAATTTAACAGTTTTTAATTCTAAATTTACATACATCTAATCCAACCGTGGTATCAAGTGACGACATGAGATTTCGTTTACTGGATTTCGTATTACGTCTATAATGGATGAAGAGATGATTCTAAGTGGTTGAATAAAGATCTCATTGCATGATTATTAGTAAAGAACTTAGAATTCAACAGATAATACATTTATGCATATGATTCTCTATAGAAACAAATGATCTAACAACAGAATTCCATACTGAGTAGAACTATGCATGTGCAGTCATAATTATGTTGAAATCTTTAGTAATTCATAACATCAGAAAACAAATTAGCATGTTATTACGATAATAAAAAACTATAAGAAATATACAATTTCCATAACATCCTATACTGATCATAATCAAAATAATATACTCAGTAGTGACTGGCTTCAAGCTGAAATTCCTTGAATCCTACAATGAAGTTACAACCATGTCGAGTATGAGATAGTTATCCACCGAAGCCAATCAATGACGGTTGTGTGATTCTATGAATTGACTGAAGCTATACAATAACACGATTGAATGCCGTCTCAGTGATCTAGAGGTTAAATGTTGATGTAAGATGGGAGATGATGGATTGGATTCCATGTAGTAGGATTATTTCTGAATAGTGATACTGAGTTTCATACTAGTACGAATTTGGTTATTCAATGCTTCCTAGTTTTTAATGATGTTTTAACTGAGGTCAGTTTCTTTTTGTAAAAGCTATGAAGATTCTATAATCGCCATAAAACTCTCTATCTCTTGAACTGTCAAATTACTTAGGTTACTTTTATATACAACACAAGTAGTATAATAAATCAAGGAAAATAAAGTTATACACATTCAAATAAATGTACTTGCTTACCATCTATATTTGATGATAGAATTAATAGTAAGTGGATAATTATAATTAATCCAGTCATAATGTTAAATTATACTGATGAAACAATTACTAATATAAATGGTAGTTACATATAATCTGGTTATAAATATCTATCAAGCAGAGTGGTATAAGTAGGCAAACAAACCGTTAAATTAGCCAATCAAATGAAAGATTCCAAACTAATTGACCTTGGTCAGTTATTATTTAAATTACACGTAATGTTAATTAATCTAAGGATAAATATGATTGTAATTTCAATAGTTGAGATCATGAGTCAATTGAAGCTGGACCATCATGAAAAACTTGAAAGCAGTGGACGACCGTTTCATCCTATTGTAGGACTCCTTAACAGTGCGTATCCACGATCCCGACCCCCTCGAGATTCGAACTCAGGTAATATCGGTCTCATGCGCGAACGCTTAACCTCTAGACTACTAAGCCGGCCAACATCCAACAATAGGACGAAACGGTCGTCCAGTGCTTCGAGGTTTTCCATGGTGATCTAGCTTCAATTGACTCATGATCTCAACTACTGAAATTACAATAATATCCACAAAAGCCCGTTCTGATAAATATTATAGTCAACAAAATTTATAAATTATTCATTTATTAACTACTCTGACTATGAAATGTGTTGTGATGTACAGTGTCTGAAATCTGATACTGATACACGGTATATTATGTGCTAACCTTTCAATTGACTACTTGGGCGAGAACATAAGAGTGAGCGAGAAAGTATTTTGCGCTATCGAATGAAATGCACTTGACCTTAAGATCACGCAAGATTCTCAACATCCATTGGTCGGATACCATCAGTAACAGCCTTCTGTGAGAGAGAGCAATCCAGCTTCCAGTCGAAGAGGAAATTAAGAAAAGACGATGGAAATGGATAGGACATACATTACGCAAATCACCAAACTGCATCACGAGGCAGGCCCAAACTTTGAATCCTGAATGGAAGCGGAAAAGAGGAAGTAAATAATAAGGAAATAGTGAATTTCTGAAAATCAGGAAACTATATGATCATTAAAGATAAATGATTGTATTGAACGTCAAGTTAGGTGTTTTAGCGTCTATTATGTGCTATCGAGGTACTTTAGAATCATTGTCAGCTTTTGAGTAAGTTGTAGCCGTTTAACTTCGAGTTTCGTAGTATTTATGCTTGAAGATGCCACAAGTATTTGGAGTTTGACAACACTTTATCCAGTAACACCTTTTATGATCGAAACATATCCACCCAGTGAAATCAAAATTCAGAAGCGAAGAGGCTCGAAGATATATTTGATAGGTTATCAATATATCGAGAAGTGACTGATCTAAACTGGCTAACGGTTGTAAGAGAAGTTGAGCACGGCGTTCCCACTTGTGATCTGATTCAGACTCGTGACCAAGCACCTTCAGCTAGGTGAGTCCCTTAAAACCAATGTGGTGACAATCAAATGTCTAAAGATTACAGAGCTATTGGTTTTGGGGATTTATTTACCGCTACAGATCACCCCCCTCCCTAATGGGGTATTAATAATCTTAAGACGTGGCAGTTTGTATTAAATTATACTAACACATTAGATATTTGTCGTAAAGACGACTATACGGAATGCAACTACTACTACTACTACTACTACTACTACTACTACTACTACTACTACTAATTATAATAATAATATCAATATCGAAATTAACCTTCCGTTAAAATGGTTATGAATCCACTTAGAATAATAATTAACAAATAATCATTGTTATTAGTAATTATCACAGTTAATTGTTTTGCAATGAAAACCATGATTGATGTCGAATTAGGAACGTTTTCCATCTAAAATAAAATTATATCGTCAAGGTTATGAATAATAATAAACCGGAAATGAAAAATTTATATAAACTCTATTTCATAGATTTATTTATGTATAATAGGGCATACGTTGTATTGTTTTGTTTAATTGTAATCAGTATGATAATTTAATTATTCATATAATACAATCATTATGACTAGTATAAAGTAGAACTAATGAATATAATACATTCTATAGTTTTGTACTATTAATTTCCAAATTTCTTCCAACGTATTGTTCTGTATAGACTCTTCAGAATATAATATATCTTTAGGATAGATGCTGTTAAATATTTGTGCTTCATCGATTGGTGATGGGATATATACTCGTAAGGCAGTCTTAGATATTTTATTGAATAGTACATGATATACGATTGTAGAGATATTAAACTATATTTTGAAAGTAAAAGAATAACTACATCCTGGTCTCATATTATTTAAAGTACTTTAAAAAATTATAGAATAGTGAACTGTGTATATCAACCATTGATTTCTAACACGGACATAAAAGTATTCACATCTTTCATGAAATACATTGCAGCCTAGCGTTATGAGTAGGAGAATTGGATGCAGACATAAAGGCGAGGATTGGCAAAGCAAGAGTCGCATTCCTACAATTGAAAAACAAATGGAACTTAAAACAACTATCAACCAATATCAAAGTCAGAATCTTCAATATGAACGTCAAGCCAGTCCTACTGTACAGATCTGAAACTTAGAGAACTACTACAACTATAATCAAGAAGGTACAAGTATTTATAAACAATTGTCTACCCAAGATACTCAACGTCCATTGGCCGGATACCATCAACAACAGCCTTCTGTGGGAAAGAGCAAACCAGATTCCATCTGAAGAAGAAATTAGGAAAAGACGATGGAAATGGATAGGACATACATTACGGAAATCACCAGACTGTATTACAAGGCAAGCCTTAACTTGGAATCCTAAAGGGGAGCGTAAAAGTGGAAGGCCAGAGAACACGTTAAGTCGTGAAATAGAATCAGGTATGAAAAGGATGAATAAGAACTGGATTGCTTGAGACAGTGTTGAATGGAGAGTGCTGGTGGGTAGCCTATGCTCCTCGACGAGGAGTAACAGGCATAACTAAGTAAGTAGCATTATGAGTCCAGTTTAAGCGATATATCTGTGGGGTTTATAAATTCCTGTCACAAAATATACTCGTTGTTTAAATTCGAGGTTAACTATTCTCTGTTATTAATTAATTGAAGTCTCTGAATACATTGTATTTATTTACATAGTTGAGTAGCCCAACTGATATTTCGATCCTGGATTACTTTCATAAAATGTTTAGTTACGATTTGGCAATCAATTGTTGAACAGTAATTAGGTTGGATATTTATCAACATTTCAGGTTTCTGTGCAATGATGCATTTATTGCTTTATATCAAATCTTCATTTATATTTCTACATAGTCTGAATAATCTTAATGTATGGCTTACCCTATTAGTCGACCTACTAGGATCAATAGTTTTCCCAGTATGGTTTTATGTTGGTTAAAAAATCTCATTTCTATTTATCAGTAGTTCTTTACAGTTTCAGGTTTGGAAGTGTTTTGTGATATTCTTGTCACACTCTAAGATATAATACACCGAGAAGAACTGTTGTATTTATTTCTCATAGGTACAATCCCGAATGAAGATGGTTGTACAATATCATGAAGTGATTGGGGTTAGACATATAAGCCAATGGCTTTGGACTAGTGCTTCAAAGAATAAGCGGTCTCAGCAAGACTTACAGGTTCTGGGTTCGACAACCAGTTGTACGGTGGATGTGTACAGCTCAGTTTCAAACTAGGATAGTAAAACATACAAATGCTCCCTGATTGTCCATTGTTATCTAACACTTAAAAACATCAGTTCAACTTAAAAGTAGATACGTAGTTGGCTTTGTATCTTACCTACGTATTTAAAACGCCAAGACTCGATTTAAAAATTAGCATCCTGATATCATCCTAGGAAAATGTTTGGTTTAGTTCAAATGAATCAATTACGTTAAGGTATACAACGCGCAATCATACACGACCAAATCATCTATATCCTTAGATTATCAATCATTAAAAAAACTTACACATTATTTACAGTACAATAGGGGCTGATATAGCAAAATAGGTTTTTAAAATACACACATTTAACCAAAAGTCGAATGCTGAAGTTATTTATTTATAAATAAATAAACATCATCAGTTTGTTACATGTTATTGAATGATTCACACTCCCTATTTTCAAAGAACTAAATTGTGAATGAGATCTTTGAAAAGCAACTGCTGTATACTTCGCTAATACAGTAATATGATAATAAGAATGGTCTAGTTGGTAGTACCGCTAGATTAGATATTCGAACGGTATACTATATAGAGACTAAATCACGCTATATTAGGTACACGATTCATGAACAAAATAGAAAACCAGATTAAAACCACACAATACTTAATTCCATACTAACACAAGCAATCAGTCCGTCAGTCCGTCGGTAACAACGTGGAACTTAGTACGTACGTACATCAGTTCAAGTTGCCATACCACATTAGCACAGAGATGCGCCCCCAAATGCCCTGATATGGCCGAGAGTGGGGAGGGCCCGCCCTCTCTCTCGAAATACTCTCACACGGCCACGCGTACACAGCCTCTGCCAGGGAAGTCCTACTCACTGCCTTCTCATGGCGGGGGTGTTGTTTACGAAAATGAGAGGACGAAAAGCTAATATCTGGTGCTTTAACCGGATCCCAAACCAATGGTGCCCATGGGCTCCAGTATCCTGATGGAACAAATGGCGTATGAACCAATCTTTGGTTACCGGCTACCATGAGACTGCATCTCCTTACGATGCTCCACTGTCTTGTGGGTTAGACCTTTAGGTCAAAGGCTCGGGGTGTGGCCCCCTAAGTAAACCACCTGCTTCGGTCTGGGCACCCGGGCAGTATCACAGCCCTCACACAAATATGATGGACTGTCGATAATTATGAAAAATACTTTTCTTGCTTCGATTAATAATCAAACTATTCACATTATTATTGCTATTATTACTACTATTGTTATTATTAGTATTATTTGTTACGTCATTTATTCACTCTCTTTTATTCCCACTCTGTCTATCCTTACTTTTCGACTTATACAGCAGCTCGCCTATGGTGGAAATTCGACTGTATCTAAACGTTCTCAAGTCACTGTCCGGTTGAAAATTGTATGCTACCACCGAATACGAATACTGAAGCAGTTTTTCTGAAACCACGTGCACCATTCAAA